TGAGAGAGTCTAGTTGAGAGGATAAAACACACACTAGCTTAAATTTCGGTATTGATTGGAGTTTATACCGATACCAATCCCGATCCTGTAATCCCTAATACCGAATTACAATTGAAATTCAATATCAATTCCAAAAAATAATACGTGTATTCTATAATATAAACAAATTCGATACAATATTCGGTATATTCCAAATACCGGTACCAAACCTCCAGTCCAGGTATTCCAATGAACAATACCATAAATGCCGTCGGTGACCTGCAGGCCGATTACTACCGGAATATCGGTGGCCTCCGGTAATACTAAAGAATTACCATTTAATACCCAAAAATGGAAAATTGCGTAAAAAGGGAAAATTAGGGAGTGTTATTTACGCCGGCCGTCGATGAAACCGATTGCTTCCCTATGGCATATTGCTTCCCTCCGAAATCGATTGCTTTGCTTCCCTAGTTTCCTCCAATGGCTGCCTTTTTAGCCAAAGGTCTGTTCATGTGAAATAATTCCCGTCCCATGTTCCATGGTGGCACGAAATTATCGACTCGATCCGTCTCTCTCACCGAATCGAACCATTTCCAATCATTGTTGCCGATCGAGAACGAGGCAGCCGCAATTCCTCGATCGATCCGAATTCCAAACCTACCGATGAAGATCGTCAACCTCCAAAGGTCAGAAATTTGAGGTTTGTTCTTATCCCCCCATCCCTTTACCCTTCTGCTGGTTCAATTTGGTCGCTTCGTGAATAGTACTGATCGGCATGATCCAAAATTCCCAGTTTGATTAAGAAGTCTTCTCTTGTTTTTCTGGCCATCTTATAACCCCTTTCTGATTTTGTTGTTCACTTCTAGGTGTATTTGAATTGGTAAGGGTAGAAGGATTTTCAATGGATTATTTGCCGGACCAGTTAGTATGGGAGATTTTGAGCAGAATCAAGAAAACTGTACACAGAAACTCTATCTCCTTGTCATGTAAGCGGCTCTACGATCTGGACAATGAACAGAGGCAGTCTCTTCGAGTTGGTTGCGGGTTAGATCCCGCGAATGAAGCCCTGACTTCACTCTGCAACAGGTTCCCCAATTTGCAAAAAGTGGAAATTACATATTCTGGTTGGATGTCCAAGCTAGGGAAGCAGTTAGATGATCAAGGGCTTGCGATTCTGGCTAACAATTGCCCTTTATTGACCGACCTCACCTTAAGTTACTGCACGTTTATCACCGATGTTGGTCTTCGTAGTTTAGCTACATGCTCCAAGCTTTCTGCTTTAAAATTGAACTTCACACCGAGGATCACTGGTTGTGGTGTCTTATCTCTTGTAGTAGGTTGCAAGAATCTCACCATTCTCTGCCTCATTCGGTGTCTCAATGTAACCAGTGTTGAGTGGTTGGAATACCTAGGAAGGCTCGAGTCGCTTGAAGAGCTCTCTATTAAGAACTGTAGGGCTATTGGAGAGGGTGATTTGATGAAGCTTGGAGCTAGCTGGAGAAAACTGAAAAAGTTACAGTTTGAAGTGGATGCCAATTACAGGTACATGAAGGTTTATGACAGGTTAGCTGTTGATCAGTGGCAGAAGCAAGCTGTGCCTTGTGAATCAATGCTAGAGCTTAGCTTGGTGAATTGCATAATCAGCCCAGGGAGAGGACTAGCTTGTGTTCTAGGTAAATGCAAGAACTTGGAGAAGATTCATTTGGACATGTGTGTTGGTGTAAGAGATTCAGATATCATAACCCTAGCAAAGAACTCCAGTAATCTCCGTTCACTCTCACTTCGAGTTCCTTCAGATTTCTCATTGCCACTTCTGATGGGAAATCCATTGAGATTAACGGACGAGAGTTTGAAGGCCGTTGCAGAGCACTGTCGATTGCTGGAGTCGATACGGATATGTTTTTCTGATGGAGAGTTTCCTTCGTTCTCATCGTTCACCTTGGAAGGAATCCTGATATTGATTCAGATGTGCCCTATCCGGGAGCTTGCTCTTGACCATGTCCACTGCTTTAATGATGCTGGGATGGAAGGGCTTTGTTTGGCACAGTCGCTTGAAGCTTTGGAGCTAGTTGGATGCCACGAGGTCACCGACGAAGGGCTGCAGCTCGTGGCTCAGTTTCCCTGTCTGAAGACACTGCGGTTGAAGAAGTGTTTGGGGATTACGAATGATGGACTGGAGCCTCTTGTTGGGTCGTACAAGCTGGAACTGTTGGCTGTGGAAGATTGCCCTCAGATTTCCGAGAGGGCCGTTCATGGTGCTGCGAAAACTGTCTCTTTCAGGCAAGACTTGTCTTGGATGTACTGAATCTGGTAGTCGTCTGGTAACCTTGCTTGGCATTCAACTGCCTAATAAGTGCAATGAATTGGTTTCTATGATTCCCATATGTATTTTGTTCTATTGGTTTGCTTACTCCCTTGATGTGTTGTATCATATGGTTAAAGGGCAGTAGTGGTTGAACTATTTAATTGTCTGTTCAGTGTACATTTGACATTCTGATAAAATGTATAATGGTTGATTAATTGATTCTATTACATGCCTTGAAAGTTATTTGATGAATTATTGTCCTCTTGGCATGGAACTTGTAGAATATATGGATTTCAGGGTGTTAAAGTTTATGTATGTCAGTTTGTCACCAAGCAAGGAAGACAGAAGAACTCTGGAAAATTCCTGGAAAATATGTATCGTCGAACATAATGAATGTTCATACACCAAATCCCTTAAGATGATCATCTAAGACAAGTAGCAATGTTATGATTAGGGCTGTTAATGATCTGAGTGGAGCCGACTTTTGTCATGGTTTAGGTTTGGCTCGTTAAAATAATTGCAAATTCGAGCTCAGTTTGAGTTCCACACTTATTTTAACAAGCAAGTTGGAGCTTGGCTTGTTTACAATAATAGAAGTTTGAGCTTACTAAATGAGATCAATGAGCGAAAATCGAGTTCAACGGATAAAATGTCGATTGTACTTCGAACTCGAACTCGACTCACAAGACACCAACAAAAAGAAACTTAAAAGCTTTCGAATTTGTTCGCGAGCTTATCAAGCTGAACATGTCATGACTCGAGCTCGACTCTTTTATATACGAGCTTATTCGTAAATCGACTCAATTAAAGATGAGTCTAGTATGAAACGAGTATTTCTCGGATCGTTCTGTTTCATTAACATAACAAGCCTAGTTATGATTACTTTGCACTTAGTAGACGAAGGAAAAAAGCAGCCCGATACACAACTGAATAAGGAATAACAAAGCCCGGTCCGAACCGCACAATCGTTGCCCCTGTCCCCTGACTAGCTATCTGCTACTAGCACAACTGAGGCTGAGGAATAGAAGAACAAAGAAAGAAGGCGGGGAAAATGCAGAGCGCGTACACCTCTTGGGTGCCCCTGGTTTCTCCCTCTCCACCTCTTAAACTCCCTATTACGAAGGTCAAGCTAGCGACAGTCCAGAGAAATTCAAATTACGCCCGTGATAGAGATGACGGCGACGGTGGCGGTACTAACACCAGCGGTGATTCACCGACGGTGGAGAATTTCACACTTCCAGCCCATGTCAAATCCATAACGAGCACTTCAAACCCATTTGTCAGGCACTGCGTCAAGCTCAGCCGCAGCTCTCCTTACCGCCACTCCCATGGCTCGACTCTCGTCGTGGGCACTACCCCTATCAGGTACTGTCATCTTCTTGGCTTTCGATAGGTGAACTTTTCATTTCTTCTATATGAATTTGGACTTGGGTTCCCTTCTTTTGTCCAATCTCCGCCAATGTGGAGCCTGTTTCATCCGTTGCTTGTTATGCGTATATGGTGTTCGACGTAAGTCCTGAATGACGCTTTAGGTGTGTACAGGGAGATTTCCAAGTACCAACAATCCCTGCCGGAAAGGACCACGCATGTGGATTATCTGTTTCTTCTAGATAATGTCGATGTCCCAGCTGGCCTTGAAAGTTCTTCCCCTGCTCGGACTCTGCGAGTGAGCTCTTTGGTCATGAAGAAGCTCTCACAAGTGCAATCTACCGAATCCATTGAAGCTATTGCCTTGATGAGATTCCCAACCAGCTACTTTGTTGCGGTTGATGGCCCAACAGCTGTTGATTGCAGCAAGTGGTTCCCATCTCCCCATCGAATTCTCGTCCTTGAAGGGATCCAGGTTACAATCTAGTTAGTTTCGCTTCTACTTTATTGGTTGCCTCGAATGTGTAAACCCATGGTAGTCAACTCAACAAGAGTTGTTTTCTCTTTTCTGCAGGATCCAGGCAATCTAGGCACATTACTCAGATCAGCAGTGGCTTTCAAATGGGTAAGCAGTGTGAAAGCTTCTCCCTTTCTTATTTCAAAGCTCTTGACTCTCACATAAAACCCCATCTATATTCTTAAACAGGGTGGAGTTTTCCTGCTTCCTGGGTGTTGTGATCCATTCAACGGCAAAGCACTCCGAGCTAGCCGGGGAGCTTCCTTCCAAGTTCCTATAGTGTCTGGCACTTGGCATCACCTTCAAGCCCTGATAAATGAATTCGACATGAGATTGCTAGCCGGCCACCCGGATATCATTGATGGATCGAGATCGGTATCTCGTTTATCTCCAGGACTTGCTGATTCCCTATCTGATACTCCGCTGTGCTTGGTTTTGGGCAACGAGGCACAAGGCCTTACGGAGGAATCTCAAAGAGCATGCGAGCTCGTGAGCATACCAATGGCTAGAGACTTCGAGTCCCTCAACGTTGCAGTTGCAGGGGGCATATTCCTCTACATGCTGCAACCACATCTATAATGTATAACATAATGGGAGTGTGTAATTCATGAAAGTTTGCTACTTTGCTAGTCAATCCGATTGTTTATTCGGTTAGAAGTGTTACATATGGATATGGGACCTTTCTCCTCCCTTTGAATATCGAACAGACAAATGAAGTTTCATGGTGCCGTAAGAATACAACAGAAACACAAAAAATTGCAGATTATTTTAACCCTCTAATAATTACCCAAGAAGTAGGGAAATGCGAAAAAGGGAATGGTTGAATTTCAGTTATCGCTGACCACCACCGACACTGAAAGAAGATAAGCCGACGACGCCGGGGCTCTTGAGCTGATCGAGCTGCTTCTTGCCGCGGTTGAGCAAGTACTCGATGTAGACGAAGTTCTTCCGATCCACTTGGTTGGAATTGCGCCGGAACTCTGCGGAGACGACGGCTTCGATCTGCTTCCGATCGTCGGCAGATTTCAAGCGAGCCGCGCGGAGAAAGCCTCGGTAGAGGCTGAGAACTTGCTTCTGCATTCCGGAGAGCCTGGGTGGCGCCATCGCATCTTCTGCCTGCATTTCGCAACCGGAAACAGCGTCTTCAATTTTTAGAATTCGAGAGAAGCAGTAGTAAATGGTTAAATCGATATATATAAAGCGTTAACCTGGGAAAGGCGAGGAGAGAGGGAAACGACGACGGCGTAAAGGATTGGCGGAGGAGGCTGCGACGGCGCGTCACGGAGGAAGCAGAAGGTTGAGCGGATCGTGGTCAGTGACGGTTGCGGGATCGGGAATAGGGATTAGGGAGGGAAAGTGTAGGAGCCGGGAAGGGGCGGCGGGAGACGTGTGAGAGGATTGCATTGGGCCCGAGGCATAAGACCGGTCTCTTACGTCTGAGCCTGATGCTGCTTTTGGGCTTGCTAATCTACTCGTTTCGTTGGACAATACTAACATTAGTGTGGCCGGACATTGACTCTTGGTGGGCTATTGATGTGAGGCCCACTATAACTCTTGTCTTCACGATTCACTGACATTCACTTCTCAAAAAGAGTGGGAAAGAGAAGAAAAGAAAGAAGGGGAAATCGTCTTCCTCCTCCTCCTGCAGGCTCCCGGCAGATTAATTAATTAATTATGCATTTTCCCATCCAGTTATTGGATTCCCTGAGCAATATATCACACGCAACGACGACGACATCATCATCTCCTGGATCTCTTCCGAGAGGCAATCCCACCTCTGGTTGATCAGTGATCGCAGCTTCACTTCACACTCCACCAACGCCGCAGCCATCGCCGGCGAATTCGCCGCCAACAGCGATCCCTATCCGGCTTGGCACAACTTCTCCCCTTCGATGTCGGCCAGCAAGTTTCAGCAGCAATCGATGCTCACTCTCAGAGGCTCCCTCCTCTCTCTCGCAATCCTAACCTTCGTCTCCCTCACTTACCTCTCCCTCAACTCTCTCCACTCCTCGTTCTCCTCCTCCGCGCAGTCCTCTCCCGCCGCAATCTCGGCCTCCGGGAAGCAGATTATTCAGCCGCTAAGAGAGACGGAGGCTTCGGCGGGGCAAGAAGAGAGCGGAAATGCGAAGGAGGACGAGGAGGCAGGGAGGAGCGATGGCGACGACGAGATTACGGATCTGTACCATTACCCGGAGGTATTCAAGTTGAATTACGCGGCGATGGAGGAGAATTTCAAGGTTTATATCTACCCGGACGGTGATCCGAAAACGTTTTATCAGACTCCGAGGAAATTGACGGGGAAGTACGCGAGCGAGGGCTACTTCTTCCAGAACATTAGAGAGAGTAAATTCAGAACTGAGGATCCGGATCAGGCTCACCTCTTCTTCATCCCGATTTCATGTCATAAGATGCGAGGCAAGGTAAGCAGAAAGCTCTTTACGGGAAAATTCAGCTCCGAAATGGATGTGTTCCTCAATTTTCTGTTCTTTTGCTTTGCATATTAGTCTTGGTTTGCTACTGTTTGTCTTGTTGAAGTGGAAGAGCTTGATGTAGTGTATTGGCATCTGTTAGTCACAACTTGCAATCTAATGTAGGGAAGAATCTATTAATTTCATCATGATCAATGTTACCTCTCTGCACCAGAGCTGCTCAGCTATCATGCTGAAACTTCAATGAGTTGAATGATATCTTAGGAATGTTGAAGATAACTGAAGAATTCATTTCCTGTATGGGGTGGTTTTGTAGTATGCTCCTTGCCTTTCTTGGAATATATTTAGTTCATCATATTAATTTCTATGTCTTAAAACTTGCTTTGGTTAGTCAAGGCATGGTTTAGAATTGGTTGCTAATGAAAGCCAGCTTCCGTCATGCTGTTAACCTGTTACGGCTGTTATGATTCATTTTCTTTGCTGACTTCTGAAAGTTAGGAGACTTACTATGAACATTGCAGCTTGGGACGAATCCTTATTGCATGTAGATTTTCAACATTTTAACCTCAAACCGTTATACTTGTGAATTAGGTGACTACTGCAAAATGGTAAATGGAATTATGCTATGTTCACAGAATAGCATACTGTTCTGGACGCTCTGTGTGAGGATGAGGATTCACAATGGGTGTATTTATCTGCTGACACTTGATTTCCTTGTACATACCTAAATCTAGAAATTTTTACTGTGACCATCCAGTTTATGTTGCCAATTATTTTGCTATCTTTTTTCAGTCTGCTGTTTGTTTCAAGAACGTGCAATTCATAACCACTAAATTGTCTATGGCTTGGTTTTCGACCTGAGACATTTGTGGTGTAATTACAAGTCTATATATTTGATTGCATCACTTGGTATTAGTGTCATTTTGACCATAAACATTCCTTTGATTGTTGCTTGCTTAACATCTGACTCGCTTGGTACATGGTGATGTATTTTATCAGGTTATGATGCATTCAGTTATAGTGATGGTGTTATACATTATCATTTGATATTTATCCTGTCAAGTTTGTCCTGTGGTAATTGTGTTTCAATTTGTGATGGTTGTGCAGGGTACTTCGTATGAAAACATGACCATAATTGTTCAAAATTATTTGGACGGCTTGATAGCCAAGTATCCTTACTGGAACAGGACTCTTGGCGCAGATCACTTCTTTGTCACATGTCATGATGTTGGTGTAAGAGCAACTGAAGGTGTTCCATTTCTTGTGAAAAATGCAATTCGAGCAGTTTGCTCCCCAAGTTATGACGTTGGATTCATTCCACACAAAGATGTTGCACTTCCTCAAATTCTGCAGCCATTTGCCCTCCCTGCTGGAGGCAATGATGCTGAGAACAGGTAACTCTTAGAAATCAGCTAGTTCTGCTTCTGTGATTTGGAAATTTGCATATGAAGTATACCGTTATTGGTATTCTGTACAGATATCCCAAATCCGATGTCGTTTAACCGACAGAGCTTTTACATACCCAGATAAAAAGTTTAACCAGCATTTGGATTGGCCTCTTATTTCCTATGTTTATTTCAATGAAAGAATCAGTCACACTAGAAATGCAATCAAATATTTCTCCGTAGTGAGTGTCGACATTGTTCCCTAACCAGAACCATGGTTTGCAGGACTACTCTTGGCTTCTGGGCTGGCCATAGGAACTCCAGAATTAGAGTTATACTGGCACGTGTTTGGGAAAATGATACGGAGCTCGATATTTCGAACAACAGAATAAGTAGGGCCACAGGACATCTCGTGTATCAGAAAAGATTTTACAAGACTAAATTTTGCATATGCCCAGGAGGTTCGCAGGTCAACAGTGCTCGAATAACAGACTCAATCCACTATGGTTGTGTTCCTGGTAAGTCTTCATGCTTTCACACCACTTTTTCCACTTATATGTTGCTGAAAGCCTAGTACATTTGCATTGATGTTGGTGTAGCTTCGGCACTTTACCCTTTGAACACCATAACTAACCATATAACTATGAGAGGGAAGAGAACCAGCTAGATTCATCAGTCGCTGAAGATTTCTCTTACTTTTGTACCTTGGCGTGAAAGCCATGCACGAAACCTCGCATGCACCAAATCTTTTAATATAACTAGGGAAGCAAATGAGTGCAAAATAGTTTCTTGAATGATTCCACATATCGTGTAGCCAATGAATTTGGACAGCTATGTGTTCCCTATATTTTGGTTTGTACGATATGGAAATCATCTGAATTCGGTTTGTCGTGTATCAGTGATATTATCCAACTACTATGACCTGCCATTCAACGACATCATTGACTGGAACAAATTCGCTGTTGTACTGAAAGAGAAAGACGTGTATCAGCTGAAGCAGATCCTCAAGGACATACCACATGAGAAGTTCCTCGAGTTGAATAAGAATGTAGCCAAGGTAGGAAAGCCTTTTCCCCATTTTTTGCCACTCATCTTTCCAACATTGGGCTGCAACTACTAAATATGCTGGTGTGTGATTGGTAATTGTACAGGTACAGAAGCACTTCCAGTGGAATTCACCACCGGTCAAGTACGATGCATTCCACATGGTGATGTATGATTTGTGGCTGCGTCGTCATGTCATCCGATACTGAATGTTGAAACGAGAATAGCTTGTAAATTTTCACATCCCTGGTCGCGTCTGTTGCTCACTATTATTTGATTTGTTCTTCAGACTTTTACACATTCGAATACCTTCCACAGTTCATCTAGGCTGTAGATCCTTTGCTGTGTTGTTTTTCTCCCCCTATCGTTTCGAGCTGTAACAAGGTTGTAACATGAAAAAGAGATAGTAGACAGGGTGGGAGAGATTGGTTCTTGGACATCTTATAGGAATTTCGGAGCATCTGTGTCACTGTTGACCTCTTGGCTTCTTGTTGTTCAGAGGAGTAAGCTTTGGTTCTTGAACTCATCAGAAAGAGCTTCCCAAATCTTGAGCTCCTGGTGGGATTAGAGGCTTGGGAAGAATTGGCATTTTACTGTTAGATCAATTTTCATAGTTGTTTGTAATACGGAGATTTTAGGATAAATGACACATTTGGTCACTGAGATTACTAAATCGTGTCATATTTAGTCACTAGAAAAATTTAATATCAATTTTGGTCACTCGAATTACTGAAACATGTCACATTTGGTCACTCTTCTGTAGCCTCTGTCCAACTCCGGTCACTCGAATTATTGAAAAATGTCACATTTAGTCACTCGGATTACTGAAACATGTCACATTTAGTCACTCTCCCAAAAGTTTCCGTCCAACTACATTAATGGAGTTGGATGGAAACTGACGGGAGAGTGATTAAATTTGACCAGTTTCGGTAATTCGAGTGACCAAAATTGATATTAATTTTTTCTAGTGACTAAACATGACACAATTTAATAATCTCAGTGACCAAATGTGTCATTTACCCGAGATTTTATGAACTAGTTAAAAACTTGAAAGCGTAAGAAGTGCAGCTGACGGGTACACTATCTGTGAGAACCATGAGGAGTCTATATGCACTGTTTATTCCATTGCCAGCATGCGACTATAATTTGGACGTCTTCTGGTCAGCTTCCAACTCTCATTTCTCCCAAAGTCCTTTTTTGCGGAGTGGTTCTTTCAATCTCAAAAGATACGGATGATCGCATTAGGAAAATTGTCTGTTACTTACGGAATATTTGGATTGCTCAGTAATGGATTTGTTTTCGAATCCAAGGTTCCTTCTCCAACCATTGAGGCAATGATGGCTTAACGTGTGATTTCCTTTGTATCGAAGAAGGTAGGACTCTTCTTCAGCCTAGGGATCCCGCTCACCCCGCTTACCATCGCCTAATGCTTTTCAAAAGTTTGTGCACTGTGATGGTTCTTTCCTTCTGCATCAGAGGTGGAGGTTCATGGAATTACTATTGCTAATGCCTAAAGTCAGGTGTATGATGGCTTTGTTCCTTTCCAATCCAAGCTGAAGCATTTGCTCTGCTCACACTATCATGCTTGCTGCTCAAGAGAACTGCCCTACTTGTGTTAAATCTGATTGTCAGGTTTTGATATAGGTTTTGTAGAATGATCCAGATTTCTGGCCATGGCATTGCCGAGCAACGTGGTTCGTATCATCACGGTTCTTTCATGATTGCTCCTTGGATATTTGTGGAGTTTACTCCACTTTGTTGTAATGTTCTTGCTGATTGGGTGGCTAGAAATGTTCGTGATGCGAGTTTATCAGTGGACTGGATTATGATTGCAGATTTAATTGCACCACTGTTGTAACTTGTTTGCTTCCCTTGTTTCGGTTATGGAATAAAAATTCCATAAAAAAAGAAAGTGTTGGTCGGTACATATAGGCAATGTAGTCAAAATCGCGTTTTAAAACTTAAAAACTTACGATTTTACGTTTCTAGGTCACTAAAACGCTTCTATCTAAAATCTCAGTTTTTATAACTTATGTAGTTAAAAACTCCGGTTTAAAACTTAATAACTTACAATTTTACGCTTCTAGATCACCAAAACGTTTCTATGTAGAAACTCGCTTTTGACTACATTATAGCTCATAAAAAACTTGTAACTTGTTTGCTTCCCTTGTTAGGCTGAAATGGGTTTGGCCTCTTGACTGTTGGGCTCTAGCTTACAAAAAATATTTGACTGTTGGGCTCCAGAGAACAGTGGGCCATCTAGCTATTTGATATTAGGTTCTTCAAAATCGTGAAGAATACCCAGTTACTGATTGAGAACCAGGAGTTGTGCGGGGAAAAAAACTTTTACACTATTGGATTTTATTAAGCATGTGATAGTTGGAAATTGGGATGGGTGTAGGAGCAAGCTGGTTAACCAGGCCAGGCCAGGCCATGTGGTGTGCGGTTGCAAATGTGTTGAGCTATGGAGACTGGAGAGGCATGTGATATGTGAAGAAGTAGTGGACTGTGCTTGTTTTGAATATAATATCTGTGTTAAGTAGATTATGTTATTTACTTAATTATGTCTCATGTTGGTTGATGCGGATCTCTATGTGATATTGGTATACTCATTTAGACAGGTTCACACATTTTCTTGGAAAAATTTCCAAAGTATCAGACCTAAAAAAATGATTCTCGATATACCATACTTATATTTCAAAATACCAAAATTTGGAGCAGTTCGCCAGTATGACAAACGAATCACTATCGAGATTACAGTAAATAACATCGATCCAACCTGAACCGCGGGAGAGCTGAGAGAACAAGCCCTAAGCAGGGCTCAAATTCCCATCAGTAACTCCATGGTTACTCACCATTAGTAACTAAATCTCCGCCATCTTATTTAAGTAGGCCTAAAAAATCCAGATATATGGGTGAAAATTTGAAGGCATTTTTCTTTTCCCTGGTTTTATTAATCGGCTCATTTTTCTTTGTTTTAATTCGGATTTCAATTTTTTATGCACTGATAGAACGAGTTCATTGTCCTCTACAAAATGAGATTCATTTTCAATAGTTTTTTAGAAAATTGTTTTATTGCCTTTCGTTACCAACTGCATACCATACGGTATCCTCTTCGTTTTTAAGTCGTTTTTGAAATTTTTTGCACAGAAGGAACGAGTTCATCATGATCTATTGGATCTACAAATTTGTAGGTAAACAAAATACAAGACCAAAAAATACCACACAATACCATCCAATATCACCCTGGTACGGGTGGTATCTTGTGGTACACAATGTTGAAAGTCGTAAATGACAGTTAGTATACTCCTACTATCATGTATTCAATCATCCTACAGTTTTGGTATGTTCATACCACCATGATAAGTTTTTTCATACCATATGGTATGCTCTTATTAATACCAGTCAATACCATATGGTATATACTAGTAAAAAATAGCTCAATTTTTTTTTGTTGCAAAAATATATCAAAGTGAATATCATTTTGAGGAGCACAATTAATCTAGTCTAACTGTGCAAAAAAATTTAAATTCCAACTTAAAATGAGTGAGAAATCGTCCGTTAAAAATTAAGGGGGGGGAAAATTAAAGACTTTCCAAAAGAGAAAAAGGACGTTGATATGACTGATACTAACTGGGTTAGGCATGGTTACTCACCATAAAATTATGGATAGGAACCGCTCCCAAGCAGCTACAAACTCTATTGTATTGGGGAAAAAAATTGGGTCTAAATCGGGTAGTTTGAGATTTTGTCCCTTGTACTTAGGGTTCGCCTTTATTAGAGGTTACTAACCTCAGGTTAGCTCTCTCCTCATTTCTTTATATGAATGGAGGTTCTTGATGTCTTTAAAAAGATAACAAATGGAGTTAAATATGAGGAACTGAAATTGAACTTCTTTTTCTTTTTCAATGAATGATATTTTTATTAGCCATGTGGAGTGAAACACAAGACGACGTGTTCTATATATTTTTATAGAAAACTTTATAAATATTATTTATGAAATTGTTTTTGCACATAGAGAACCGATTAATCATAATAAACATATGGAAAGACAAGTTGAAGATCTAATATAGGGAGACAAGTTGAAAGAAGTTCCACCAACTCTAGATTTGAAATTAGTATAAATGGCACTCAAGATAGTTAGTACAAGGACCAAAATGTTATTAGAAAAGATCGAGGAGCTGGAGTACGAAGTATTGGAGGATTATCAAGAGTTCATACGAGTTATAACAAAGTGGATTCAATCCACATCCCATGGAGCCAACAATGATAAATGCAACTAGATGGGACGATGAAGGAACGTCACAACTCGTTTGGTCATCTGATGAGAGCATGATCTTTGAAGAATGGAGAGTATCATCTTTTAAATTGTTTTTCTGTTTGGATTTAGGAGTTGAAACTTTTGCTCTCTATATTATTCACTTTTTGTTTGTTTTGTTTAATTAGAATCTCCCCAAACAAGAAGAGTGCTAGCCTAAACTCTTTCAAAATTTGATCAACAAATTGAAAAGTTTAAGGACAATGTTCATTTTAAAGTGCGGGGTGGAATTGTGTGCTACATGTCTATCTATCTATCTATCTATCTATCTATCTATCTAGGGCAAATACAGTATATTAGCCATAACTATTAAGCAGCGGGGAATTATAGCCACAACTATCGAAATACAAATTATTAGCCAATCGTTAAGGTTTCGTTAACACTTCTGTTAGTAATGATGACTAAGCTTTTACGATGGTGAGCTGGCTCCCACATGGCAGTCATCATATCATATTTTTTACGATGCTGACTTGGCCTTCTACGTTAAAAATTTGAAAACAGTAACGGGCTGTTAGCCAAATCTTGACCCACAACAATAGTTATGGCTAATAATTTGTATTTCGATAGTTGTGACTATAATTCCCCGCTACTTAATAATTATGGATAATATATTGTATTTACCCATCTATCTATCTATCTATCTATCTATCTATCTATCTATAATATTATAGCAATTCAAAAGTAGTTTGTTGCCACATAAGCATTTGGAGAATTTACAAGGTGCCATGGTGGACACTTTTTTTACAAACAAAAAGTTAATTAATGATCAATTAATGTAGTTATATCTATCTTTTTTAAATATATATTTTTTTATTTTAATGATCATTTATGTAGCTATCTATATCTTCTTTTAATGTTTTATTTTTTTATTCAATAATCGTATTTTTCAATATATATGTGTAGCATGAGTATACTTATGTTTGGAGAGTGACATATATTGTAATGCTTCAAAAATATATTTGATTAAATCTGATCAATTAATTTTTAATTTTCTTTTTATAAGAACTTAATATATGTTATATTTCGATAAAAAATAAATTAAACACACAAATAAGTAATAAAAAATTTTAAAAACAAAATATAATGAAGGAAGTTTAGATAATCAACATTTAATAATCAATTGAATTTGAAAAACCAACTATATAATTTTATGTTTTGGTTATCAAACACTATCTTTTTCTAATGTTTGTATCTATCAACTAAAACAAGTATTAAATAGCAAAATGCTTCAAAAGTTGTTTTTTTCATTTTGATAGAAACTTGACGAAGCCATAGTACCCGATTGTACAAATGAAGACGATAAAGAAAGACAACTTTTCTTCTCTCTTATAGTGCATGCTTCCATACCTTATTTTCTCTTACATTTGTTCATACTTCCCCTTATTTTTCTTAACAGTTTACATATTTCGGTCAAACAAAGGTGTTAATTACACTAAAAATACATTAAACTCTTTATATTTATATATGTATATTATGACATACCTTGAGTAAGAAAATGATATCTAGATCTTGAATTGACTGGAGTTGCATATGATATTATTCTCAGACCCTTAAAGATTAAAATCTAGGTCTTAAATTTATAAATCTCATATCTAAGATCAATTTAATTATAAACAAAAATCAATGGTCATGATTCGTTAAAATCTATACAACAAATTACATGCACAATCTTAGGGGTTAAGCTCTATGATTTAGATAACTAAAACCTAGGGTTCACTCATCAAGGGTTAGGGTATAGTATCATGCCCACAAATCCGGTTAATTCGTGGTCCGAATAGCATTTTTTTACTTAGAGTATAAGATCAGATCATGCTTAGATATTGACAATAGATGTGGCATTAC